AGAAATGACGCCTACGGTGAAAACGACGAAATCTCCAGAAACAAACAAACGATTTTTTTAAAAAAAAGAGAGAGCATTGTTTCAAAATAAATAAAAGAGAGTGAGAGAGAGAGAGCAGCGGACACTTCGAACCACCGGAACCTCCAAGGAAGCCAAGCCACAATTAATCGCAAACGCCGCCGGCGTGGTAATCGCTCACCTCATCTCGTCGGCGGCCGGTGCCCAGAGGCGGCAGAAGAGCGCGTTCCTCCTGGCCCCGGTGACGAGGAACGTGGCCCACCTGGTGGCCCGGTCCTCCTCCATGGGCACCTCCTCCGCGAGCGCCCTGCGGCGGCGGACGTCCTCCTCCTCCGCGGCCTGCAGCCGGCGCCGCCGCCGCGCGTTCCATGACCCTCCCCCCGCCCCGGCTTCCAACGCCGACGCATCGGCGCTGGACCCCGCCCGGCGCAGGCGGAGGTCGCGGGCGAGGAGCAGCAGCCAGAGGAAGAGCGAGTGCAGCGCCACGGCGACGCGGAGCAGCGCGCGCCGCGACAGCACGGAGCGGAACACCGGCACGATCCGGCCCGTCGCGCCCGAGGTCATCATCATCTCGTCCCCGCGGCCGCCACCGCCGCCGCCCCGGACCCCTTCCTCCCTCGGCTCTGCCTCCTTTTCCTCCCTTTTACTTTTTCTTCGCTGTGTTACGCGGTGGCGCGTATTTATAGGACGGGGAGGGAAGACTGAAGAAGGAGACGGCGCGCGGCTGGGCTGGCTTCTTCCTGGAATTCGGCCCTGCCCCTGACCTGGTTGCCGTCGTCGCGGGAGGCAGTCGTTGAAGGCTTCCGCTGGACGGTGGGCCCCACACGCCACCACGGCGCAGCTCCTGCTCATTCATGTCACGACTCATGGAGACGTGGACCTTATCACAGTCACAGCACACCCGTATAAAAATTTGTAAACATTAAAAATCTTTGACTAACACATTTTAATTACTACACAAATATATGATATGGTTAGATTTGTAATCAAGTGTATTATCCAATTATTATAAATATATAAACATAAATAATACAATATAAAATAAAAACAATTAAACTGTAGTTTGAGAGATCGTGTCACGTCTAGTTGTGTCTTATAAAAATAAGGATAGTATTTCTTATTTGTTTCATGTTTATTTATTATAGTATTGTATTCAGGGACGGAGCTCAGTAGAGGCGAAACTGGGCTCCGGGCCCTGCTTGCCTTCGCAAAATCATGAAGGACTAGTAGTAGCATGCTGATGAAGACTAAGGTAGGTACAGCCTAGTAGTATCTGGGAAGGGGCAGCAGAGAGCAAGAGACGTAGGAGTAGGCAATACTGTGGTGTTTAGCATTGAATTAGCCCCCCTTAATATTGGGTCACGCTCCGCCACTGGTTGTATTAGTGACATGATAGCAAAGAAATTAATTAAGAGAAAAGAGAATCTACATTGAAAGCTCACAATGACACCCAGTTGATATCAGTTACGTACTGAACTCCAACAAAGTCTACATTGAAAGCTCACAATTTCATCCTCAGTTGTTATGGCACATCTCGTGTGGCTTTGCATCCTCGCCGTGCGTTGCTCCTATGTCACGTGTTATACGTCTATATATATATATATTTTTTTTTTTTTACACATGCGACTCTATTATATACATAATTTTTGTTTGACATTTTCTTTTCTTGTATATTAGCACTTAATTTAAGTAATATTACAAGTCGCCTACATTGTTCATATGCCACATTATATGACAACACCATGTAACTATTTAATGTCGTGATCAGCTTGCTGAAACCATGAGACAACTATATATTAAGATAAGAAATACTATTTTATTCATCATCATCCAAAACATGTAAGCCGGCATACTATTGAAAACAACACGATGAAACACACTTCTAGTGTAACAAGCATGCAACGCATACAACTTATTATTATACTTTTATTAGATTTAATTTGGCTTGGCCAACTTTTACTTATTTTAGTTACAACATGCATGTGCTTGTAGATTTGTTTTGAGGGCACTTGCACGTACAAGGAATGATAGTTTAAATGCCCCATGCCCTTGCATGCGGCCGGTCACAACACAACAATACGCTGGCAATCAGAGATGATCAGATAAGCAATAGGCGACCACGCCTCTAGCATCGACAAAGGAGGGGCTCAGAAAGAAAACTATGGATGAACAGTGCTACAAAGGCCAGAACACAAGCATGAAAAAGATAAGGAAAGCAAACGTAATCTTTTTCTGATTTATTTAATTATTACATGGTTAATTTTGGTATATGTGCTCTATTGAGATTCATTTAGCATAAGTTGACGCAATAAAATATGACAGTTTAAAAATGTATGTAGAGATGAAGTTCCATTCAATACAATCAAAAGACAAAAAAGGAAACAAAAGGCATATGTTAAGCTTAGCGTGTGAACCGAGTATAGTGGAAGTGGTCACGAGGGTCCCCTTCAGTGTCGTCCTGCCCATAAGGAATCAAACCACCCTAGATGATTTGATGTCTTGTTAAATGTTAATGCGGTGGTTTATTCATTGTATGTAGGTGATAATTTTCCATCAACATCAAATTTAATTAAGTGCACGTGGCCTGGTGACTTTTTCAGTCTTACTAGCCATGGTCTTCTGGCTGCTGCTCTCGTGGCGTAATTCGTTTCGTGATTGCGAGTTAATTTTGGCGACGACGACGATCGCTGTGTGGCGTAGCGGCGTGTGCTCCGCAGCTAGCTAGTAGTACAGTGGTGTCTAGTGACATGAGGAAACGAGAAATGAAACAGAGGAAGAAAAATAATCCCAAGTGAGAGGTCGTTTTCTGGGGGTGTGTGTGCGCACGCGCGTCTGCCGTAGTAACGACTGATGGGCACAACGCCGCAGGCCGCACCAGTGGGTGCACAGCACAGCGGAACGCGACGGCGACGGCGACGGCGACGCCTGTGATGCATGCATGCTCGATGTGCTCTGCTCTCAGCCGCCCGCGCCGTCGGTTCCCAGGTGCGCAGGCGACGCGCGCGTCTGATGCCCAACCACCAGACACAGACACAAGCATATAATATCATAGGCATAGCAGCAGCTAGCTAGGGCTCGGGGGCGCGGTGATCTGATCACCGACGGTGAAAGCGAGTCCACCTCCACCTCCACCATGGCCTTGTTCTACGCTGAGCCGTGGACGACGAGCGACGACGCGTGGCCGTCCGGCTCCGACGACCCCGCCGATGCCCGATGCATGCCATGACCACGACGGGCGCGGGCGCCGCATGCACGTCAGCGTCGGGCGATGGATCGTCGGCGCTGGCCGGTAGATCCCAGGACGGCAGGAGCCACCATCGTCTGTCCTTACGTACGTGTACGTCCGTGTCGTGCCTGCATTGATCCCGCCCGGTCCATCAGATTCAGATGATGCGGGCCAGGGGACGGGACCCACTGGGACGGAGCCTCTCGATCGATCGGGTGGTGTGATTATCACGACGACGTACTAGGCTAGGTCTCCTTGCAGGATTATGAAGAAGATCATGGTCGGTGGGACGATGCTGATGAGAATATATACCAGGTGACGCAAATGAGGCGACGAGGGACCAGGTTACTCGCAGTCCACTCCACCGCCGCCCATTCATCGCTGCCTCGCCGTGCACGCCACCGCCAATGCCACCGCCACGGCGCGGGCAGTAGTTTCTAGCCTGATAGTGATAGCTTCCCTCGTTTCGGGCTCCTCCTCGTCTTCTGCTCCTTCTACAGTGACGTGGGTACAACTTTTTGCTCGGCACGTCCCCCTTTGCGATATATGTAATGTAAGATAAGAGGGCTTTGAGATTATTAGCATTCTTAAATGGGCCAACGGCCCAACTTCCACAAAATACCAGGTACATCTAGCTGGGCCTCTCGCACGTTTCTCTAGGAATTGCGAAGATCCGGGCTCACCAGGCTCTGCACTCAGGCGTTACTTGTAGCCCAAAACGGCCACTTCGACGTTGAAAGTGAAATTAAAAACAGGACCCTCAGCTAACCTAAAAAAAACGGTGGAACTAAGTCCAGTTTTTTTTTTTTGGGTGAGCGTGTTAAGTTCAGTCCATACATAATTCATCGCGTGGGAACATCTGAGAGTACCGGAGCCACGCCAGGACTGTGAATTGTGGTAGTGTGATACTACAATAGTTTATAAACTTTTCTAAGCCATATAGTTTAGAAAACAACCCAACCCTATTTTTATCTTCATATAAACCTTTTGGCCACGTCAGGTTGCCCATTTCTTATTTTTTTTCATTTCGATGTACAACACTTCAATTCGGATGCTAAACACGCGATGATGATCGAATAAAATAACCCAAAAAAGGGTTGGGCGTGCACATATATTCAGGTGCTAAGAGGCTAAAAACCCCATCGTGTTTTGGGCGGTAAATATATGTATAGCATTTGAACTAGCCATGAACAATTGTTTTTTTCTCGATCACGTAAAAGGTTTGCGCGTCTCTGTATTAAGGTAGAGAAAAAGTTCAATACAATATGATTCTGGGCACCCTAGGAGGGCAGTAAAGATTTACAAGGAAGCTCAGACCCTAAGCTAGATTATTACATTGGACAGATATCGACCCAGATTTATGACGCTAGCAAGGAGGCCCTAGCTGCCGGACTGCGGCGCCGCTTACGCCGGTCTACGTCGCATTGTGATATCCACAGTTTTCTAGCAAAATTTATACAGAGTAGGTAGCTTGTATTACAGCCAAAACGTATCACACAGCAAACAAAACAACGGTCTCCTGACGAAAAGATTGATGAAATTAAGATAGCTAACAAAACCCCATAAATAAAAAATAACTACAGACTTAACTACTATATACTACCATGTTCTTGACAGTACACAACATACTCATGCATGCTGAGCTAGCTAATGAAGTACTGTAGGGTGTATATAGGAGCAACGAGCAATAATGAAGCTGAAGCCGCCTTTGATGCATGCATGCAGCACCCCAACCAATGAACCAAATGCTCATCAATCAATTGAAGTCCTTGGTGATGGCGGGGATGCAGCTGGAGCTCCTGGCGAGCGCGCCGGCGGGGCCGCCGTGGTCCCGGGGGCTGTTGGACCTGCACCGCTTCCGGAGGATCTCCCGCATGGCCTCCGTCTGCATGAGCACGGGGTTGGCGCGCCCCACGCGGTTGAACCGCCCGCACACGGCCATGTGCGCCGCCAGCGCGTCCTCCACCGTGCGTGTGCCGCCGGCGGCGGCGGCCCTCTCGGCCTCGGCGTTGACCGCCGCCGCGCACAGCCCGCACACCCAGCGCCCGCAGTAGCGGTCCCGGACACGGCGCACGTACTGCGCCGTGCACTCCTCCTGCATGCCGCAGCACTCGCACCGCGCCAGCTCCTCCGCCTGCTGCTGCTGCTCCGCGATCGCCGGCAGCTCTGGCACCTGCTGCTGCTGCTTGGCAGCGGCGTCGGCGGCCGCGGCCGCGGCCTTCTTCTTGCTGTCCCTGGACAGCTCCAGGGCCAGGTCGGACATGGCGCGCTGCAGCCCCTCCATCGAGATCCTCCTCGGCTTCGACGACTGCCGCCGCGCCGCCTGCTTCTTCGGTGCCGCCGGCGCCGGCGCCGCTGCCTGTGCGGCCGCGACGACCGCTGCGTCTCCATTTGGCGCCATGAAGAATCAAACCAAATAGTTGGTGAACAATCTCTTGTACTCTATGTTGTATCGATACTGAGAAAGAACAGCTAGGGTAATGGGGAACTCTAGCTTGGTATTAATACTGAATATATAATTATGAGCTAATTGAGGAGTGAGAGATGATGACAATAATTCTAAAAATTGTTTTTGTTTGTAGCAACTAATTAGCTCGATCTTCGCTGGAATGTGGAGTGTGGTAATGTACAGGAGGTACTTTATATATACAGGCCCAAGCGTAGTGCCCCTGGCTTGCAGAGAAAAAGTGCAGTGTAGATTAATTAGTGGAGCAGATGCGTCGTTAGCTCGTGACATGATGCATCCATGGATGGAGGGAGCTGGAAGATGAACGCGAGGGCCGGGAGGACGCCTGAAAGCCCTAGATCACTCCAGATCTGCGGCTGGATGCAAACCGGCGGCTGGCTGGCTGCAGGCTAGCTGGTTCCGGCCGGGACGTGTCTCGCCGCGTCCATGTCAGCGTCCCATACATGCTCGTGAGCGAGATAGTGAAGTTCCCTGTTAGATTTTCCGTCCCCGTGCATCTAGCAAAGATCGGACGGACATGCGGCATCCGTCGTCGTTGCGTCTTGCAACAAACTGCGAGCGTTGGATCGTACCATTTCTGTACTTTTGATTTGAAACAATGGCCGGCGGGGGCATACGTTTGCTTGGTTTGCTTCTCGCCGTCTCTACGTTGTGTCATGTAAACAGCTAGCTATGCACGAACCGCGACGTGCATGTTCAGATACGTGTATCTACACACACTGACCCACGTGCTTTTTTTTTAATCAAATGCTTTAGCCGAGCTTTATTGGAAAGGGTAATACTGAAACCCCGAGCCGTCACTGGAGATACCAGTTTACAAAGAGGCATTCAACAAATTCTTGCACATAGGCAAAAGCAGAAACCAAAAACTCTTACCATCCCAAAGTTTTGAACTTCGATCTAGCCCAACACACTCACTAATATAAGTACCATCTAAACAACGAACCTAAACAAAAACCGACAAATTCTTACAACTCTTGGTTCACTCTACTTAAGATTGCTACATATGCATAATATTGCGCTTCAACTTATCAACAAGCTCATCCGCCCTCTCCACCTTCTTCTTGACTAAAGGTCTCCATGTCTTCAACAACATGTTCGCACACGAACACGTCACCGTGTGCCCCCGGCGATGAGCGCGATACGCAGGACACGTCGCCGGAGGAGCCTCGCTGGGAAGTGTGTTCGCACACGAACACGTCACTGTGTGCCCCCGGCGATGAGCATGATACGCAGGACACGTCGTCGAAGGAGCCTCGCCCGGAGCGCGATATGCAAGACACGTCGGCAAGGTCTCTTGGGACCCGAAACCCCACACGCCCGGGAGGGACCCCGTTAGGGCGTGTGGCAGCTATGGGCTGCCCTAGCTAGCCTGACCGCTCTAGAGCTTCGCCATCTTGAAGCAATGAACATCGTTGACAGCGAAGAACAAAAAGAAATAGTAGATTGAAAAAGTAAGATAAAAGATAAAAAGTAGATGTATTGATAGATTCGATCGTGAGTCGTCAATCAGTCATCACCATTTATATTTATAGGGCGGCTTGTCTTTCCTATGAGTACGTAGATATCTCTAGAATTACAACCATACAAGGTTTCCGTGCGCTAGCAGCCGTATTAATTTGTGAGTCCTAGTAGAACACGACAGCGTATATGCGTATTATATGACCCAGCTTGCCTTTCCTGCTTGCATGTACGTGTTATGCATTACCATATCCAATTAATTCCCAATTTAGATTTTCCTTTCTTGCTTCATGATCAACGTACAGCTGCGTATACCTGGCACCAAGCTCCCGAGTCCCGTCCGGCCGTACAGGCACGGCCAGGTTCCAAACACGTACTCATTAAGTAATGTGAATACATACTTCACGTCTGCATGTACGTCCCTTTTGATGGTCTTCAATCAAACTGGCTAGCAATTACTATGCATGCCAAATTAAACACCCGTCGGTCAAAATATAGTCATATATGTTGCACTCAATCTTCATGTCGCCTGTATCCAAGTATTGAGAACCAATCTCCTTTCTTAATCTCCTTCTAGTAGCACGTATGGGAGCTGGACTCGGATCCTTCTTGTTAACTCAGGCGAGGGCATAGCATCCTTTCGAGTATATACATACCAAATATTAATACAAGATCACAGCCATTGATCCATCTATCCATCTTGTAGCCGTGTACTGCTCTGAAACATTATTATCAGATATAGATAATTATATATATCGGGAAATCAGGAGAGGCCGACAATCCAACCGAGAGTCTCTCTTCTCTAATCTTCGGCTCAGATCAACCGTGACAAAGGACACTCAGGCCAGTGGCACGATAGTCAACGACAGGCTCAAAGGTCACATTAACCTACAATGCACTCGGACCATGTTGATCAAAATATGTGCTCAATCATCCAAGCCGAGTGACTAAACACTTCAGACAAATCTGAGTATCAACACAACATCACCGGCTTGTGGACCACCGCCTCTGGAGATGCCAAAATCTTGTTGTTGAACACTACATCATTTCTAGTCTTCCATAACATCCTTAGTGCACCTGCACAAATAAACATGGTTATCTCTCTCAGATTTCCTCTCTGCTTCACCACCTATACATAAAAGGATTCAAAGCTGATTGGAGATCTCTCTACTTCTCCACCACCTATACATAATCAGACTTCTCTGTTCGCTTGTCTTATGAGGCGTACTTTTTCAAATGAAGGAACAATGTTTTCTCTCACAATAAATCAGCGAATAATACTTTTCAGCTTGTCTTTTCAAGCAAAGCGAACAGGGCCTGACAGTGGAAAAAATGTGATTAGTTGTTTGTAACTTATCACACAGCTTGCATTTCACTAGACCTGATTAGTTACACACTTTCTCAGTTGAGCCCCACACTGAATGTGATCATGGACCACCATCCAAATAAAAATTTGAACTTTAAGAGGAATTCTCATTTTCCAAATTTCTTCTATCTGCTGGTTCCTAACATCTCGGAATGTCATCAATTTATATAGCGACTTCGTTGAGTATTTTCCAGATGCCTCTAATCCCCAGTATACCTAATCTCTATATGATCCCAAACTAACTTCAGTCAACATCTCCTGCAAACGATACCTCTCAGATGTCCGTCCCAGACTCTATCCACCTCTATCTCAGTACATATTTGAAATAGCTCCCATAACTCTATGCTAAGAGGATAGCCACCCAACCAATGATCCAACCAGAAACTTGTCTGCTTTCCACTCTTAATCTTTATGCTCCGGCCTGCCTGATAACATGTTCTAAGGTCCAGCAAGCTTCTCCAAAACTAAGATCCCCTTTTCCTCTTAATTTGAAAGATGCCTTTGTTGCCCAGGTATTTCTTCCTCAATAGTTCACAACAAACACTCTCTACTCCTATTTTTAATTTGTCTATCCATTTGCATATGAAACATATATTCATGACCCTGGCATCCATAAAACCCAAACCTCCAGAATCCTTTGGCCTATTCAAAGCCTCCCATTGGACCGTATGATATTTCTCTTGTTTGTCCCTGGCCAAAAAGTTCTTGATCTAACTGAATCTATTTGCTGGTAATTTCCTTCAAACAACATACTCCCATAGTGTACGTAGGTATGCTGAGAGACATAAATCAATTAAAATTGATTTTCCTCCAGAACAAAGGTGATCACCTTGCCATGTACTCAACCTCTTAGCAGTTTTTTCATTTACAAAATTCAATTGCCCTTTGGAAAGCGTAAAATCACTTACTGGTACTCCAAGGTATATGATTGGAAACTCACTCAACTTACAGTGAAGCATCTTTGCTCTCCTTCTTCTCTCATCAGTATCCATCCCCACTGCATACACCTCAGTCTTCTCATAATTCATCTTACACTAGACATAGCTTCGTAACAGGCAACAATGAATTTTGTAGTTCTCACATTTTCTTATGAATTTGATAGGAAAATAATAGTATCATCTGATGAGTTAGAGCATCTCCAACAGATTAGCTAAAATAATTTGTGAAGCCATATTTAGCTATTTTGGGCGCAAAACAGTCTCCAACGGACTCTCAAGCCAAGTTCAATTTACTTAACTCTCCACCCCGCAATTCTCGGTCGCTAGACCTGGCTAGCCAGAGTCGCTCGCCATCTACGAATTCCTTTGGTACGTTGTAGAGTAGAGTGGACCATGGTAATATTATCACTGACAACTGACAAGGCCGAGAGAGAAAAGGAAAAAAAAAGAGAGTAAGATCTCGAGGTGGCACGGGCGCTGCTACTGTGTGTGTCCATATGCCGTGGCACCGTGTGCATGCAACGCAACGAGATCCACAAGCTCTGGTGACTCGTAACTTCTCGGAACCGCATCATTGCATGAGAGAGACGGACGGAGACGAGGTCACGGGATGTTTGTTTTCGCGACGCCCATCCCATGCCTGATTGCCGCTGCCGGATCGGGGATGTGGATGCGCTTTTGTTGCCCCTCCTCTCGTCTTGGAGAGGAGATTTCGTTAGGAGAGAGGTTCACCGCACTTTCACTGAGCCGCTTGGATTCGCCCGCGTCTTCATGCTCTGTTGGAGGTTTCCAACACTAAAAAATACTAAAAGATGGACTAAATAATCAGTTTGATTCCAGGAACTAAAAGAGACTAAAGGATATTAAAACTGCTGAACAAAGACCAAAACGCCCCTCCCTTCTATTCTCTTTCTCTCTCTCCTTCCTCTGGTCTGCGGTGCGATCCCTCGCCGACGTTGCCATCCTCGGCCCTTGAGTCCGCAGGAGCCAAGCACCGCCCTGCGCCCCTGCTCTCGCCTCGCCTTCTTCTCATTGCCCGCATCGCCGGAGCGTCGAGGCTACCACCACCCTCGCTCTGCTGGTGGTGGATCTGGCCGGAGGGTAGGAGCGCGGCCGGCGTGGGGTGCGGCGCCGGCGTGAGGTGGGTGCGGCAGGAAGCTGGCGGCGGA